GTCTGTGACTTCCTGAAATCTTCTCCAAAGATCTCGTTCTCCATCACTCCATGCGTTCTCACCTTCTGCCACATAGCCCACCTGCTCGGACAAGGGGGTTGCGAACTTCGAGACGACATACATCAGGAAGCTCATTGCTACCTGTGCCTCCCTTTGGCTCTTTGTCCCTTCCTTGTTCTCGAATTTCCACCACCAGCACTTCACCCTCCCTGTAGCCGCTGCCCAGAACAAGACTCTCACTGCAGCCCCATCCACATCATTGAGCAGCTCCGCCTCCAGGTCCAAGATCTCATGCTGGTGCCTTAACTCTTCCAACAGCGCGCCCTCAGGATTTTTTCCTTTCGCCGCTGGACATACCCTCACCATCCACGATGCCGATCTCATCAAGGCCTTTCGCTTCGACCTTGACAAAGGCAATTGCTTCAGCAGCTGCCAACCATCCTTGTCATCCTTCGGAATCTCACCTTCCATCGGAACCAACTTTTCCACCATCGCTTCCGCCAGGTTCTCAAAGAGTGGAGCTTTCATCACCATCTGCACCAAATGGCCAACCTTCGGCTCATCCACGAAGCATCTGGCCCACGCCGTCCATGGTCTCGCTTCCACATCTGCCAGCGAATCAATTTTCGCCTTCAGCACAGACAGCTTGCCGCTAAGCTCCTTTCTTTTTCTCCCCTCCAAGCGATCCACAATCTTCATTGCCTCCTCGTTTGCAACTTCCGGACAACCCGAAGTCACCCTCGTCCTCAAACGACCATATTCCGGATGGCTCACACTCAGCTTTCCTTTTGTCCACACCACCTTGTAGCCGCTATCCACGAGAGCACCCATGGGAATTATGGTTTGCACTCGCTCAGGTCCAGCTCCTTGGGCGATGATGGTACCTTCTTCGGTCTGGTGAAGCTCTCGTTTCGTGTCTCCAGCCAGAACCACCTGAGTTGGCTTAGCGCCTTGCAGCTCGGTGGGCGACCTGGCCTCACGAAGGATATTAGTTGCCCCGCTGTCCAGTAAGGCAAAGGTTCCACCAGAGGCGGGCTCCTTTTCGAGTCTCATCACCTTCAGGCGGATTTCATCAAGCTGTCGCTGCAAAGTTTCCACTGCTGCTGAGGTAGAAGACGAAGCGGTCGAGGAAGAAGCACCGCTTGCCAGCAGTGACCTTATTGCCTGGGTAGCTTCCCCAAGCATTTCACGAAGATCCTGTTGCTGAGGCTCACCATCCTTGGCCAGGGAGTCGTTCTTGGGACTTGTAGGAGAAGACGATGCAGGACTTGGGCGCGGCTCTGGTTCCACCACTGTCGCCTTGGCCACCTTTTCATCACCGCCATCTTCTCCAATGCCCCTTCCTTTTCCCTTCGTCCCCTTCGGCGAAGCCTTCACTTTCGGTTCCACCTTCGTGGGACACTGCTTGGAGAAATGCCCTCTTCCACTGCAAAGATGGCAACGATCCTTCTTGGCGACACTACCCCACTCATGCACAAACCGGCAACCGGCCCCATACTTGCAGCCCTCGTCCACCTTCGCAAACAGCTTGCACAAGGGTGACTTTGCCGTGGCCTTTGTCTTGACGGCAGTTGACGAAGAGGAAGGAGTGCTCGGGGTCTCCACGCTCTTGACCTTAGGACTTGGGCTTGTGCTCACCGACGAAGTTGCCAACAACTCCATCTCTGCTTGAAGGTGCCGATGGTAGTCCAGTGTAGACGCCAAGGTTGGGTTTGCATCCAAGCCCAGCTTGGCTCTCATCAACGAACTCCTAAGCCACACATCTTGGTGATCCCCCAACACCTTCGCCACGACACCGTTGAGCCCCTTCACCATCAGGACCGGGTCCGGGACCGTCACTGTCAAGTCCCTCGCGCGGCTCAGCCAGCGGCTCCACCTCCTAAGGCTCTTCACTGCCTGCGCCGCATTCGTAGAGGGCTCAGGACTAGTCAACTGCTGGAGCAACAGTGTCTTCTCCGCCTCCCCTCCAGGACGATATACCGTCAAGAGCCGAAACACCAAGCACGAGGTCGAGCCTGTTGACTTCCTGGTGATCATCTCGACCTTCACCTCCTGTGGAAGAGCGGCGAACACCATGCCTGCTGCTCTCACATTGACTCTGCCATACTTACCCTCCTCGAGGTCAATCGAGCGAGGGGGCTCCAAAGTCAACTTCTCCATCGGGCCAGATGTCACCCACTCCTGGTATCGCTCCTCAGCCAAACTCCTCACTCTCGACCACCAGCTTGAACTTGAATCGCTCAAGTCGCCCATGATGCCTCCCACCTCCTCCAGCCAGTCTTGAATATCCACAGGGCTCGTGTCGCGACCTGGTGGATCAAGTGGTGGGAGAACCGTGGTTCCTGGCTTCACCGCCTCAGGGCCAGTCTCCCTTTTTTCCAGCTGCTTCATTTGGGCTTCCTGCAACTGCACCGTCAAAGCGCCCAACAACGTCTCCGCCGCAGTGCTTTCCGGTTGTGGTTGGCTGCTCGAACCCCCAACTCGTTCCCTCTCTTGCTGACCTCCACGGGGTACATAACCGGATTCGCCAGGCACGCCACAGCCTTGACCAGGCAGCTGTTGAGGATGTAGAAGAGGGACTCCAGGGCCTTGACCAGACTGCTGAACTTGTAGTAGGGGAACTCCACCACCATGACCGCCTTGCTGCTGTCCTGGTAGAAGAGGAACTCCACCTCCATGACCAGCCTGCTGCTGCCCTTGTAGAAGAGGAACTCCATCGCCTTGACCAGCCTGCCGAATTTGCGGGAGGAGAACTACATCCCCATGACCGCCTTGCTGATGAGGATGAAGAAGAGGACCTCCATCGCCTTGACCAGCCTGCCGAACTTGCGGGAGGGGAACTACATCCCCATGACCGCCTTGCTGCTGTCCTGGTGGAAGAGGAACTCCACCTCCATGACCAGCCTGCTGAAGTTGAGCCCTCACCCATCGAATTTCTTCCTGCTGCGAAGCCATAACCTCCTGAAGTTGCAGCCGAACATCCGCTCGAAGCTCCGAAGATCCCGTACTTTCACTCTGCTGCTGGGCATGACCTGGGACTTGTCCATACAACAACGGTGCCCTTCTCACCCCATCCCAAAGCTGACGCATTTCGCCAGCTCCAAACAGAGGTGCAGGATCAAAAGCCGGCGAGTTGGTTTCCCCTGTCCACGACATGGGCATCCTTAACTCTTCAGGAGGGGACACTTCGGATCGCCTTGGCTGCTGCTGCTGCTGCTGCATGTTGCTACTATACGTGTTGGGTTGTTGTCTCGGTGGTGAGTGGGTGGGGGTTGTGTGGCTACTCCCTTGCACACCTTGCCCAGGGGTCAACCCTAAACCACCTAAAACCCTACCCTGTAAATCGCCAGCAGCATCCGTCGTAGTTCTCAGGACTTCAGTGATGCGTGTTAGCCACCTCATCATCGTAGTCGGCGAAGAACTCCCAGCAGTCCTGGTAAAAACATGCCTCTCGGCCGTCCACTCTGCACCTCTCATCTGACCTTCGCCGCTCTGGGCCTGAAAGGCGCCCTCCGCTTGAACCACATGCAGTCCTTGCTGCGGTTGAAGGTTCTGAGGCAAATCAGCGAGTTGTCCGCCCCTTACAGGTTCCAGCTGCACCAGCTCATGACCAATGGTCTGCCCCAGATCAGGCTGCCCACGTGACGCGTCCAAACGACGTCCTCCGTCAGATGCCACAGTCTGATCCCCGGGAGACACACCATTGGGCATGAGACCTGTATCCACAGCTCCATAGGCAGGGCCGGCCACTTCGCCATCCAAAATGCCACCTTGAACCCCGTTTGGGCTCATAACCTGTGGGACGGTGCCCACAGGCTGAGCGGGGTTATCAGATGAAGAAAGGGTGGACCCAGGCCTCCGATGTAGCATGTCCATGGCTTCAATGCAGGGCTCACTTGTTTTGCACCACAGCACAATCTGTACTTCTGCTTTGCTGCTTGCATGTCTACTTGTAGTTGGCCCTACAGGCCTTGCTTGCACTTGGCCCTGTCGGCCCTATCCACATGTCGGCCATCAAGGCCTTCGACGTTCGGGCCGGAACGGCCATCCGCTGTGCACCACACCTTGGCCACCAGTAGGGCACATCTTCATCCCAATATGTGCCAACTGCATGGACAACTGCATGGACGCCCGAAGTCACCCTTGATAGGTCTCAGGGCTCATACGAGACCGGTGGGTGGGGTGGGGCCCTTCCGGGTAAAGGGACTACAGGGTAAAGGACTACTTGTACCCTGAGCCCTACATTGGAAACCTAAATGAAGCCTAAATTGGGATCATAGACCCTGGACTACTTCGTTTTATGAAACATATTCTAAACCCTTTTAGGGTTCCTCTGACCTCCAAGGTAACCCCTAAACCCTAAACCCTAAACCCTAAACCCTAAACCCTAAACCCTAATGTCGTATCCTGATTAGTGTGGACCCCTTCAATAATGCAAAACTTTCAAAAAACAATTCAGGGGACCAAAAAAGGCCGCCCCCCCTACTATCATGAAAAGTTTTTCGGGCATGGGTGTCGGAAGAGAGAAAAAAAGAGAAGAAGATGAGGAAAGAAAAGAGCAAAAGAAGAGGAGCTTCAATTCTGAGCTTACCTGAGCTTAATTACCTAAGAGGAGAGGGAGAGGAAGAGGAGAGGAAGAGGAGAGGAAGAGGAGAGGAAGAGGAGAGGAAGAGGAGAGGAAGAGGAGAGGAAGAGGAGAGGAAGAGGAGAGGAAGAGGAGAGGAAGAGGAGAGGAAGAGGAGAGGGCAGAGGAGCCAAGAGGAAATGAAGAGGAGGGCCCGGGGCCGAAAATTAGTTTGGGGGGTCCTTTTTTCTTTTTTACTATTGCGGGGGTGGAATTAGTTTGGGGGGGGGGCCCACGCTAATCAGGAGACCACATTAAACCCTAAACCCTAAACCCTAAACCCAAAACCCTAAACCCCAAACCCTAGCCCCTAACCCCCAAACCGTAACCCTAAACCCTAAACCCTGCAATGAGAAACCGTGATTTCTGCCGAGGCCTGCTGCGCCTCCGACAGCTGCCTCCCAATCTCTCGCTCCGCCTCCTCCTGCCTGAGGGGGTTAGGGTTTAGGGTTTCGGGTTTGGGGTTTGGGGTTTAGGGTTTAGGGTTTAGGGTTTGGTGTTTTGGGCTGGGAGTTTAGGGGCTTGTTGTTTAGGGTTTGAGTTTGGGGTTGGGTTTGGGTGTACTCAAGCGTTCTTCGAACCACTTGGGACAGACAGTACGGCCCCTTTAGACCGGCGAACATTCAGTAGCATTACAGCACTACTAACAATGGTCTGGTGCATTGGGCTTCGAGTCTAGGATTCTGAAGCACCCTACAGGCTGAATCCTCTCCTCAAGAAGACCACAGAGTCAACAAACCCTAAACTCTGAACCCAACACCCCAGACCCACTTCACACCCCGAGCATGCCTTGTAACCCTAAACCCTAAACCCTAAACCCTAAACTCTAAACTCTAAACCCTAAACCCTAAACCCTAAACCCTTAGTCATGTGGTTTCCCCATGCTCCCCGGCTTGGTAGCCAACATGAAAACTCCGAAGCTTTAGCGCTATTAGCCCAAAAAAGCTTCCAACAGCTCCTGACCTTAGACAGCTGTGAAAGATATACTGCCCAACAAGTAACCCTAAACTAAACACCCCAAACGCCAAACCCTAATTACACCCCAAACCCTAAGCCCTAAGCCCTAAGCCCTAAACCCCAAACCCTAAACCCTAAACCCTAAGCCCTAAACCCTAAACCCTAAACTGCATAAGCCCTAAACTCTCAACCCTAAACCCTGATTATCTGACCTCACCCTGGCGAGCGGCGCTTTGGCAAGAATTGCGGATCGGCTGCCCAGGGTGTGTTGCTCGTTCTCGAGGCTTCTCCTTAGGGCTTATAACATACTGAACCCCAAACCCTTACCCTAAACCCTAAACCCTAAACCCCAAACCCTAAACCCTAAACCCTAAACCCTGAACCCTTGTTTGGGGACATGGGCGGCCCAGACAAAGGTATGGTGCACCCAGGTTAAACGAAAACCCTAAACCCTGAACCCTGAACCCTGAACCCTAAACCCTAAACCCTAAACCCTAAACCCTAAACCCTAAACCCTAAACCCTAAACCCTAACCCTAAACCCTAAACCCTAAACCCTAAACCCTAAACCCTAAACCCTAAACCCTAAACCCTAAACCCTAAACCCTAAACCCTATCCTACTCGGCACGTTTCTTCAAAGGCACGGGACACTCCCTTCGTAGCCCAGTAACTAAGAGTACCCTGTTTGTCGTCGGTCACTTTATAAGGGAACCTAGAACCAAAAAGAGGGCAAAAGAGCACCACCGGGCTACCAAGCTCCAAGAACGGGGCCGGGAATCCTACTGTTTGCTTAAGAACCCCCCCCCCCCCCCCCCCAAGAAATGAAAAACACTATTCCTGATAAGGGCAACATATGGCCTTAAACCCTAAACCCGCCCAAACCCTAAACCCTAAACCCTAAACCCCTATGATCCATACTTTGTGGGGGCTCTTAAGCTTTTTGGGGCCGAGAATCAAGCCTCTCGTCATCTCCAGCAGCCGCGCCTCTGTTCGGCGCTGCTGCTCCTCATGGTTGTTTTTTTTTTTTTCCGAGATTTTAGGCTCAGGTTTTGCTTTTGCGGGGGGGGGGTTGTTGGGGTTTTGGGGCTTTGGGGTTTGGGGCGTTGGGGTTTTGAGGTTTTTGTGTTTTGGGTTTTGGGCTTTAGGGCTCGGGGTCTTCCAGGCTCAATGCTTGAGGGCTTTTCGCATCTTGGTAGCCCAGTAGCCATATCATAGTAAGGGCACCCTTTCTGGGGTTGGTTACTTTCTTAGGGAACCTTAAACCAAAAACAAGGCAAAGGGCACCACTGGGCTACCAAGGCATGTTGAGGGTTCCAGATGCCTTGTCAGCCTTGTGACAGGAGGGTTTTGGCGGTCCTCAGAAAACCCAAGAACCTCGAACAAAAACAGCCAACGCTAAACTGGGGTAGGCTTGGGGGCCCTATAACAGTTATTTTCCGGCTTTATCAGGAATATGTGTGTATATGTATGGGGATTAAGGGGAATTAAAACTTACAATTCTGTTGAAACCTACCTCTGTAAACCCTAAACAACAGCCCCCCAAAACACAACTTGAGGGTTCAGGGCTTAGGGCTCAGGATGCGGGAAAAAAAACTGAAACCCGATAGCTATTAAACCCGGCCTCAATCTCGCCGAAACGGCCTGCGGCGACTCTGCCGCAAGGTTTGCTGAGGGCATAGGTCTACTTCCCAGAAAGCAGCAACCCCTCAAGCAAATGTATATGTGCGCAACTTAGTTGCTGAGTTCATACATAAGCCCCGAAAAAGTGTACACGTTCACTTCTCTAGGGGCTTAATAGTATCCCAAAATTGCAAAGTGTACTCACTCAGCTACTGTAGGAAGGCAAAAACATTCTAATTCCAAAGCCAGGAGCCGATACCGTTTCGACATATTGCCTAGCTGAGCCGTCTTGGCTCACTGCACATCCCTATGAACCCTAGACCCATTGCAATCCTTCAGGGGCCGATGGAGGCCCAACGAAGGCTCCTCCCCATCGTTCCCAAAAAACATGTGCAGGGCTTTCATAGCAGGCTGTGAAAGAAGAGTGAGGATGGTCTGGTTGTCTGTCTTAATGTGGTTGTATGTGGTCACTTCTCAAAAATGTGGTTCTGGGTCCTTAGAAGGCGGCCCCTGGTTTTGCGGGTACGGCTAGAATGGGGGGCAGTGGGCGTTGAGCAGGGTTTTGGGGAGGCTTGAGGCTTGATGAGGCGCTGGCAGTTGAGATGCGCGGGGCCTGCAAGTCCAAGACCATCAACTCTAAACCCTAAACCCTAAACCCTAAACCCTAAACCCTAAACCCTGGACCCCAAATTCTTGCTTGCGCAACTTCCTTGGCCAACTGAAGGCTACTTGCTGGGATCGCGCTGGGAATTTTGCTTGCCCCGAAGAATGGGTTGCTGGGAATAAGTAGGCTGAGGGTCCACACAGGGCCCGAGCCTGAAAACCTGAACCCGTAAGCCTCAACACTATGCCCCGAACCCTGACGCCCGATACACCGCAAGCCTTGAAGCCGAAGCCCTCAAACCCTAAACCCTCAAAACCTCAAACCCTAAACTCCACCCCTTCCATGACCGCTGGAACCCTGAAAATCGGAAAGCCTGGCAACCTGAAAACATGAAACCCTAATCCCTAAACCCTAAACCCTAATCCCTAAACCCTAAACCCTCAAAACGACCTTTCGTTCTGGCCTTCGGCTCGGCGATGGGCCAAGCAATTCAAATGCTCGGCCTGCTGTTGCTCTGCAACCTCGTGGCTGGGGTTTCTAGGGTTTAGGGTTTAGGGTTTAGGGGTTAGGGTTTAGGGGTTAGGGGTTAGGGGGTGGGGTTTTGGCAGATTCGGGGTTAGAGTTGAGGGTTGAGGGTTGAGGGTTTAGGGTTTCTGGTGTGGGTTTGAGGGCTCTCGACATCGACGCGTATCGACAGCTTCACAAATCGACTTGTGTGTAGAGTTGGTTTGGAATTCTACCTGTATATGAGATTCATAGAAGGATGTTGCAAATGTAAGTTCTGGAGCAACGAGTCCGAGGTAGTGATCAGTGTATGATGTAAACGATTCTACCCTGAAGCCCACACACAACTCAACAGCTTCTCAGGGCTAGCTCTGGGTGCTTTGGCTGTGGTAGGTTTGCATACCCTGAACCCTAAACCCTGAACTCTAAACCCTAAACCCTAAACCCTAAACCCTAAACCCTAAACCCTAAACCCTGGCATATATATATATATACACACATACATACAGGCATACATGCAGACATTGTTCTGGGGCCAAGGTGCCACTTGCTGGTGGAAGGCGGCCAGCAAAGCGAGTAGACGATCCTGCCGACCCCAGGCAACCCCCCCTTCAGGGTTCAGGGTTTAGGGTTTCGGGTTTAGGGTTTAGGGTTTAGGGTTTAGGGTGTAGGGTTTCGGGTTAGGGTTTAGGGTTTAGGGTTTGGGGTTTCGGGTTTCGGGTTCAGGCCCCAGAGTTCAGGGTTTAGGGTTCAGGCTTTAGTGGGGGCTCAGATTGCTTTGGGACCCTAAGCCGCGTTCATTAAGGAATGGACCTTAGTGCAAAGCCCCAAACCCTTTCAATTAGGAGTGAACCTTATTGCATGGTCATGACCCCACATAGTTTATGGAGACGTTTCCCGAATCTATGTCTCTAAGTCAGGGTCCCCTTTTTGGAATCCCTTTTTCAACCGTGCCGCCTTCTAATGGGCACAGTACCCGAAAAGGGGCCCTAATTAAAATTAGGAAACTACCTGTGGTATTGCGGATGCTTCCCTAAACACTAAACCCTAAATCCTAAACCCTAAACCCTAAACCCTCCACACTCTCAAGATCTCAAACGAAAGTCCTCCGACTCATCGAACTGTGTCTGTTGACGGCGCCAGGCTGTCTCCTGCAAAAGGTTCCCTGCCTAACCAGCTAGCTACTAATTAGGGTTTAGGGTTTAGGGTTTACAGTTTAGGGTTTAGGGTTTAGGGTTTGGGGTTTAGGGTTTAGGGTTTGGGGTTTAGGGTTTAGGGGCACCCCCACAACAGTACGAAAACAAACAATCCCTACGTTACCCTTCTAAGGAAGATGGTGCTCACTTTTTGGGTTCTGAAGCAAGTTCCCTGAAAAAGGCAGCCCAGGAAGCAAAGGGAGACCGGTTTGCTGTACCAAAGACCTACCCCCTAAGGAGCTACTGGGCATCCTTTCTGAGATGAGGGGGCCTGCGCAGGGGTTCAGGGCTTGTTGGTTTTGGGGCCCCAGCGGCATAGGTTCAAGGTTCTTAGTAGGGAAGGGGGGAATTCGGTACCTCCTGTACTTTACAGGGTGCTTAAAAAAGGGGTTTTCATGGGGGGGGGGGGGGGGGGGGTCTGTAGCCAGGGAACCATAGGTAAGCTTATGGAGTGGTGTGGAGTACTAGGGAATCTTGCTTTAGATATCCCCTTGAACACCCTCCCTTGAGGGTGGATGTAAGGTACCTAACCTCCCTCCTTCCTTACAAGAAACAGCAGGTCTATAGGATTCCCAAACCGCCATGCCTGGCATCCGCCGGGTGTATGAGTAAGAGCTGCGTTTTGCAAGGGTTTCGGGTTTAGGGTTTAGGGTTTAGGGTTTAAGGTTCAGGGCTTAGGGTACTAGGATGGTATCATACGTGGCGAAAGCCTGCAAAGACTACTCGAGCTGACGGCGGAGAAAAACGGACCCGGAATCATGCCTCGCACAAGCGAGGAGCCTCTTTGCTACAGGATTCAAGGGTTTACAATAGGATTTAGGGCCTTAGGGTTTAGGGTTTAGGGTTTAATTAGGGCTAAGAGCATTTGCTATAGCCCCTCAAA